GACGTTTCTGGCCCAAGTGAAACCATGCTTCTCACAGAGGACTGGAGACAGCAAATAGGGCCTTAGTCATACACAGTTAGCCTCAAACTTAGGTTGCTGCTCACAGGGAGAAATCAATGTACAGTATATTAAAAACAATCACTGCGGCCCTTAAATGATCCAATAGTTTAGCTTTGAATGCATTCAAGCTAATGAGGGCTTTAATGGCTTCTGACAGATCGTTCCATTGATCAAGGGCATGTATGAAGTCCTCTGCCTACTAAGCTCTGTTTTGATTTTGAGAAAAGAAAACGAAACGTCCATGGTAAACAGGGCTTGATTGTTCACATGTTCACTGGGATGCCTCTCGGGCTGACCCTGGCCGGGAGCAGAGGAGGGGAGGACAGTGGGAATCCTATATACCTGGCTTGCTTCGTTCCGACTCTAATCAGGGCGTAATCAAGTGGAAATCTCTGTCTGCAGAGTTGGGGGGTAGGGGAAGGAGGGAGACCAGAGCTCCAGTTCTCGGTGTGGGATAAGTTACCAGCCCTAGCCTTTGGTGCTCTGAGAAGTCGGTTCATTCCTCGGGGGGCTCCAGGTTGGGTCGGTTGAACGTGCTTGCTCCAGAGCGAAAGACCACATCCTCCATGTGAAAGGGAAAAGTGGGCTTTTCAGTGGGGGCGGGGGCAGGAGTTTTGCAAAGGAGCCGATGAAAACGGGCTTCCCTCTCCCTGTGTGTTGGAGGATCCAAGGTCACTTCCCCAAGTGTGGAACATTCCGGAACTTTGGCAATTTTTGCAAAATATATGGAGTCTGTAGAAATTTAAGAGGAGCCCTTAATTATTCTTGTTCAAGAGGTGCTTTGGCTGCTTGCTGTGACCTCGAGAGCAAGATATAGGCCAATCCTGTCTCTCCTGCCTTGCCTGGTTAGAAGTCAGACACGTGTGCAAACTCCTCTGTTAACCACAAACAGTTTTAAACTGGTTTCATTGGTATTATTACAAGTAGTCCCCACCCTTGGACTTACGTAGGACTTTGGTGGTTACAAGGCCCTTCCAAAGGCCCCCTCTGTGGGGGAGACATGCCGAGGCACAGAGCTGGTGAGTTTTTATCTGGGGGTTGCTCCGGCTTGTGGACCTTTTATCTCCTTGTCTAGGAAGCTGGGAAGAAGGAGCAGGGTACCTTTCAGAACGGCCACCATGAAGGGAGTGACCACCTGGGATCTTTATTTGATCTTTGGCTCCAGGACAGATGATGCAGAGATGCTTCATGCCACAGTCTCCAACCAAGGGGGTCAGAGCGACTGAGCATGGGGGGTCCAGAGCCACTGTACTTTTCCTGAACTTCCCGTAGACTGGCCTTGACCTTTCTGCACCCGTCTGTGAGGCACAATGTCCATCCCAGGCCCCACTTACCATCTCTGGGCAGGAAGCTACCGAATTTACAGATTAGAAACAAAGGGAAACCCGAGAGTGAGAGCCAGGAGCACTCCATTTGTATTGGTGCCATGTTTAGTCGGTGGCTTTTGTAAAATTGATGAATTTTGTCTAAAGGCAAGTGCAGACAGGCCAACAGATCTGTATCTGCTGTTATCCATTTAGCTTGACACACACGGGCAGAGGAACTATTTTACCTCGATTCTTTCAAGACTGATGAAAAGTAAATGCAAACAAAGTCATGAACTGCCTCATTGGAAAAGAATCACTGAATCTAATGCTGGAAGTTAATTAATGCTTCCCTCCCCTTGGAATAGACGGACCCCGCTGCTTAGACATTCAGAGTCAATAAACAATTGTTGTACACAGATCATCCATTAGAAGGGGATGGCAAGAACTTTTTTTTTTTAAAGCAAATCTAAAATTGCAAAGGGCGACCTTATCCCGCTATAGTAATGGAGTACTAAGGAATCATTTTTCATAATATCTTATTTAGAAAATGTACCAGGCCATCTGCCTGGGAAACACACACACACACACACACACACACACAGAGAAGCTGTGAAGAGCTAATGGAATAATAAAGGGATGGTAACATGTTATTTTTCTTAAGCAAACCCACAGCGATCTTGGGACTCCTTTTGGATGACTGTTGACTATTTTGGGATTGGGATATCACTGACCATCATAATTTGGTACATTGAGTGATTACTAAGTACGGGGCATGATGTAAATCCTTAACATGATGTATGATCCCAGGGGAGAGAGCTATCGGATGAGCAAGGCAGGTGTTATCATCATCCCCATTGTACCTATGAAGATTGGAGCACAGAGAGGTCAAGCAATTTGCCTGCGTCACAGAGCTCTAACTTTCATCCCAGGGAACTGGGCTAACAACAGCCTATAACTCAGTGAAGGGCTGTGCGTGCCAGCATGGACCTTGGCTTCCTGAATCTGCGTACCCTACATGGTAGTGACATTACCATTACGCCCATTTTGTAGATGAGGAAACAGAAATCTGAAGGGGTGGGTAGCTTTAGAGTCACCCAGAGATCCAGGACAGGACAAACCCAGAAAGTCTGCAGCCAGAAGCCTCAGCTGCCCCCCAAGAGTCAGAAGATCTGGGAACCCTGATGACTGTGAATAGCACTGAAAAAGCAGGGAGCGCACAGGAGACTAGTTTTTATTTTAGGAGAACGTAGGTCAGATATCGAGAAGAACTTGCCCTGCAAGGTCCTGGGAAGGGGAGAATTGAACAGTGATGAGAAGGTGCTGAAGGCGTGGGGGATTGGGGATCTGGCTGGGCAGCAACCTTGTCCCTCCAGGCTGCAGCAAGTGCCCTGGGGGGGGCACTCAAGCCTTCTTCTTGTTCATATGGAAGAAATAGGAGCCGAGTGGGCGCGGTAGTGCACACCTATAATCCTAGAGGCTAGGGAGGCTGAGGCAGGAGGATCTGGAGTTCAAAGCCAGCCTCAGCAACTTAGCAAGGCGCTAAGCAACTCAGAGAGAACCTGTCTCTAAATAAAATACAAAATAGGGCTGGGGCTGGGGCTCAGTGGTCGAGTGCCCCTGAGTTCAATCTCCCTGTAAATAAAAAGAAAAGAAATGGAGCCTTAGACCCTTTCCTGGAGTTTCCACGGCTCTGGTTCTGGAATATTCTGGAGTGTCTCCAGTGAGCTCGAGAAGCAGGGCGTTCCTCTCCCAGACAACAGGAAACCTGCCTCCCGAGCTCGGTGGCGGCAGCCATGGGTGCCCTTGTCATCCTGCAGGAAGTCATTATGGGCTGGCTGGCCTCCTGCCTCCCCGCCTCGCCCTCTCAGAGCCGCCTGGTTCTCCCGCAGCCGCAGTCCTCACAACACGCCGAGCCTTCCCTCCCCCTTTATGGTTGTCAAATTGATTTCACCACCGCGATACCTATGGCTCCCAATGAAACTTAATTAAAAATACCATTTAATCACAAAGTAACAAAGGCAAACTGGATAAGCGGCATTACCACTTCAGCGCGTTTTAATCCGCACTGCTTCGCTCCGTCTGAATCTGTTCGGATGGAAATTGCCTTTTCAAATCAGAATCCCCTGGTCTTCCATGTGCTTGCCGCTGACAGATCTCCAAAATAAACAGTATTTAGCGTGGCATGGATCCAAATGTATGCAATTTGCCCAGTGGTAAAATCAGTCTTAACTAGAGCAGGAGAAAAAAAAATAATAAAAACATAAAAAGTTGCATTCGAGAATACCTTCCCTGGAAACACACAGAAAACCCCCCGAACGAGGGGCATCCATCAGGCAGGGCCTGTGCAATCTCATTTCTAGCATCCCTCGATGCAGTTAGTGATGGGTTTAGAAGCTTATTACTAAAATTGTGTCACAAGTGATGCCATGACCCTGTTCTTTTCTTTTCTGTCTAAAAAGCTCTCCTGGGCTGAAGGCCGCCAGTGGGAAAGCATAGGGCTGTCGCAAAGGTGGTTCTTTGCTCGGACTCTGCAATCTGGAGGTGACTGCAGGGGCTCCCAGGCCGGCAGCCCTCCCCAGAGCTGGGAGGTTCCCAGGGGAAAGATGCTCCTTTGGATGAAGCCCTCTGCTCCCCAGAGACCCTCTGGAACCCTGGGAGCACCCCACGCCCTCCCTGCATAAAACCCTCCTGAGTGTCCTGAGGCAAGTGGAACAAAACCCCAGAGCCACACACCTGCCTCTCCTCCAGCTGGGTCAAAGGTCCTTTTTTCTTTGAGTGACCCTTCCCAGCAATCCCCTGCCTCAGAATCTTTGTGCCTGCTGTCCCCTTCCTACCGTGCCCTTCTTTAACTAGTTGATCTATCAGCCTTCTTGAGTCCCCAGGTCCCCTCGGTCCCCCACCCATGTTGGTATCCTTCAGCACTTACAGTCATTTGGAAGGATCCTGTCATTGACTTCCTGGCTCCCCAGGGATGTTCTTATTTTGGTCACTACACACCCCTGGACCTCCACGAGGCTGGGAGTCTGGTGGAATCAGAGCTCTACCCTTGGATCCTGGGGCCCACCGCACAGTTGAGGCATCAGGAAAGAGGGAGATCAGTGGCCACTGAGTACCAAGCGATGTCTTAGATCACGTCTCTCAAGGGAGCTGGGACCGATGGCCAGGGAAGCCTGATAGGAAAGCAGGTGGGCACTGGTGCTGATGCAGGTGGTCCCGGGGCCTGGCTGCCCGCTCCTCATCCACACTCATCACTGCAGGTGCGGGACAGCTCTGGGCCCACATTCCCAGGAAAGTCCTTCCCCGGCTCACAGAGGGCACCAGGCCTTCCCTTGGCGCTCAGGTCTTTGCAGTTGCTTTGATATGATCGCCAGCCTCCCCTCCTTCCACCCACCTGAAACCTCCCTGGGGAGCAGAGGTGAGCCCCAAGCACACCAAGCTCCTGCTCCCCAAAGGCCACTCTTTTTCTGAAAACATGACTTCACCTTTCAGATTCATCTAAGGCAGTGGCTTCTCCAACTCCACCATCTATCACCTGGCACCGCCTGGAGGGTTTGGAATCTCCCCCCATCCACCCGCCCCCCCCCCCGCCAGGCCCACCTGCCAGTGTACAGGGAGCAAAGCACGGAGCCTCTGTGTCTTATCCTTTTAATATCTTTATTGTATATGAATGCTTAATGGTGCACACAACAGATTAGTACAAGCAGTTCATGAATATAGTTGGGTAGGATACACAAATTTGGGGGTACGCACTAAACATTGGTGATTCTTACTACTGGGGTAGGAGCAAGCAGGTTTGGAAAGCGTGGACATGAGGGGCGAAGCAGATCAGGTTTACAGTAAACGAAAACAGGGAGCAACAGGGTCCACTGCAAACCACAGGGGGTCACGCCCACTTCAGAGCTGGGAGACGCTGCCACTTAGCCTGGTGCCATGCTGCGAAGCAGGCTTAGGACTGGCAGGTGCTCCAAATTCTAAAGAGAATGCAGACATTTGAATTTTACACGAATTCTCCCAATTTAAAAGTATTGGCACCTAATGAAATGTAACAAAGGACAAACACCAAGGGGACAAAATAAAGAGGGGCCAGGTGGTCGGGGGCTGGGGCCCTGTCAACACCTTTCTCATCTCTTTTACTGATGAGGAAACCGAGGCTCAAAGACACCGAGGAATAAGTCCAGGGTCTGAGAGTCTCAGCGTGACGGTCTCACTTTCCCACCTCCAGGGGACAGAGTGCCTTCTTCCATCAGATCCTGAAGGCAGGGGGCTATGCTCTGTGCACCTCTCCAGGGCCAAAGTTCTCCAGTTTCTAAACTACTGTGAAGGCTATGAGGGGAGGTGACACGCCGAGGAGAGGGCTAACTATCCTGACGATTTCTGGGGACACCAAAGGGCAGGAGCCAAGCCAGAAAGGGAAAGAAGTGATGATGGCATCACAAGACAAAAACTGGCACAGCGATTCAGAAAGGGAGCGGAAGACATCCACATCCAGGTCCACTTACTGATACGTAACGACACTCTAGAACTTAATGATGTGCCAGGAATTGATCTAAGTCTGCAGCTAGATCACGTCACTGAGTACTCATCTTGGGATCGGACACCTTTGGCATCCCCATTATAGAGATGAGGAAACTGAGGCAGGAGAATGTGCCAGAGGCCACATAGGTAGTGGGGGGGGGGTCTTAATTCAGGCACTCTGAAGCCAGAGGCCGGGTTCAACCTCTGCTCCCCCGGGTGTGTCTGTAGTGTCAATGTCATTAGGATGGAGCACTGGGGTTCTTCAAGGCTCATTATCTGCACATGGGGGGATTAGAGAAAAACTTGTGCTATGCTGGCTAAATTCATGATGCAATGTAAATTGGGCTGGTCTCTGTCATCAGATCAGGGAAAGTCCCTAAAGACGGGATGTCAGCTTTGTTTTAATGGGTAACACTGTCCCATGCCTGACTGTGGTATGCAGGAGTCACAGCTCAGGATTTCACTGAGCTTTTTCTCTGAAAAGGGAAAGGGGCTACTCTTTAGAGTCGTTGCTCTTTTAATCTCATTCTCCTGTGGGAATAGCAACTACAAGGAATTGGAAAAGGGAACACCTGCTCGTGAACGCTTCCTCCAAGAGAACTTTCTACAGTGATGAAAATATTCCTATCTGTGTTGCCCCACACACTAGTCCCTAGCTACATGTGGCTGTGAAGCACTAGATATGGTGAGGGCAACTGAGAAACTGAATTTGTAATGAAAAGTGAACTTAAACTTGAGATGCCACAGTCAGCGAGAGGCTGCCATATTGGATGGTACACCTCTAGGGGGCATGGTGAGGAACTGGGATGGACAACTCTAAGTTCTGTCTTTCCCCAGACAACTGGGCCCACTCTACATCTCTGAGGAGGCTGGTGAAGGAGGAAAGGAGGTGAGGCTCTGTCACAGGTTGGGCTACCTCCTTTGGCCCTTCGGGGCTAACAGTCTCCTATGAAAAAAATCCCAAGTGGCCAAGGTTTTGGGGGGAAGTTCTTGTTGAATACCAAATTGGACTATGGCACTGTTGTTTTTCAACATCTTACTACTCACGGGCTCCATTCCCTAGCTGTTTTGAATTGGGACTCAGGTTCTACAACCTGAGGGCCAAGAGAGGCCTACACTTTGCCCACGCCCGTGATAAGGTTGCGGGAGAGAAGCCAAGGATGTCTTCTCCTTCTCCACCTAAGACTGTGCTCCTTCTAGGGCTTTGCTTCCAGAAGCTGCGCTCTGAGTTCTGAGACGATGTCTGTGAGGTCAAAGGGCAGAGGCATGGAGGCATCGTCCTTTTCCCAGTATGGACGGCAGTCTGGCTTCTGGTCCACGGGTAAAGTTCGGGCGATTCGGCACTGGCACCTGGAAGAGGAAGAACAGGCCATGAACCCACTGGGGAAATTCCTGGAAGATCCAAACTCCTGGGAAACCTGGAGACCAGCGCTGACACGTGCTCCCACACAGTCCCCTGTGGCAGAGGTCACAGGGACAACAGGGGAGAATGAGGCCACAACACAGAAGGCAGGTGTTCCTGAGAAGGAAGAACCCCTCCTCAGGCGCCAGGACTTGGCTTCTTTCCGATTCCCAGATCTGTATTATCTTGGGGAGCTTTGGAAAAGCCAATCATTAGAGAAATGCAGTTACTCTGCCTTTAAAATAGTGAATTATTTTTTCATTATCTCAACTGTTATTTAAAGTGTGTGATTAAGCCATTATCAGATTTAAATGTTTGTGGGATTTCGATGTATTACTAGATTACTGGGAAAGATTAAATTGAATTTACTGCATTAAAACGTCCAAGAATAGATTAAACAATATTACAGACCGGGGTTGACTTTGGAGATCCTGGAGATTTACAAGTGTCCCAGCTTGCTGGGCTCAGAAAAAAGCACGCCAAGGAGAGACCGATTTATAAGGATATATGCAAATAGAGGTTAATAATCATTTCCACTGATGAATAGGTGGGGGGAACTTCCACAAAATTAAATTAAGAGGCTAGCAAGAGTTAGTCCCTAAGGAAAACACTTAAATCACGGTTTTTATTAAATGGATTATTCATCAATAGTAGAGAAATTAATTATCATATGCAGCTAAATTATAGCCTCGTAGGAAAAAAATAAAAGTAAGGGGCACACCTAAGCAGGCAGCCAGCCACCTCTCCAAGTCTGGCTTATTTAAAATTGGCCCGGGACAGCTCAGTGGCTTTAGCTTTATTTATCTGAAAACTGAGCATCGGAGGAAAGGAGACAAATAGCAATAAAGAAGGAACGATTTCTCTACTCTCTGGGAGTATGTGGCTGCCAAAGTGCCTGCATCACAAGTGGAGTGGATGGGAAGGTGCACAGGTACCCACCTCCGCCTTCCAGAATCTCTGTCTACATCAATTAAAAAATGGGCCAGACCCACTAGTGTCTTCCGACTGTGTAGGAAGGGTTCAAAGAATGGGATGTCCCAGCCCCACTCCAAGCCTGATGGGACAGAAGGTTCCTAACTGCAAGACATCTCCTCCTCTAGGGAATTATTAATGGTGAGGGGCTCCTCAGGGGAAAACATACTTCAACTTTACACCTATTTTCGCATGTGGTTAATTGCCATACCGGCATCCTATGCACTCAATCCGTCGTACATTACACATAACATTCCAATATATCTCCGGCTCTCCGCATCAGGCCCTGATAATAGCGTCTGTTAACATGCACTAAGTACTATTATGTAGCACATCACTTCATAAATAATAAGATTAGCTGACCTCAGGGCCTCAAGAAGAGTAATGTGTTTAAATGTTCTCATTATTTATTTAAAACAAGAATTAAAGCAACAGAAGCTGCCTCTGACAATCCTCTTAGCATAAATATTAAACTGTTTGCACTGATAAGCACACATTGCACTGGGGGACAGAGGGCGCGTTCTGCAGACGACTTCACAATAGGTATTGGAGACCGGGCTGCTTGCTGGCCCTGTTCTCAGGGTGCACCTCCCTAGTTCTAGAGATAGTCTCTAAATCACTTGAAAGGGACGAGGGGGAAATTAATATTCAAGGGAAGCTGCGACTAATTACAAAGGAACTCTGCAAAGCTTTCTAAATTGTGCTTTCTCTCTGCCTCAGAATCATAGAGTAATGCTCAATTTACTGGGTAGGGAAAGTTATTCCAAATTGAGCATTTCAATCTCACAGTGGATAAATTATCCGTGCACACATTATCCTGCTTGGCAGATTAAAGGGCTATGATAAGTGTCGATCCACCTAGAATATCATAAGGTTTGTGAAAAGTCAATAGAGATGCTTTTTCACCTGTCAGATGGGGTTGGCCTCCTCACTTTGAGAAAGTATTAAAAATATTAGAACCCGCGGCAGAGGTCTGCTTAATGCCGTGTCATACAAGCTTCCCAAGGCCACTGGCTTTGCTTTAGGGCAAAGCTGTTACCAGGTTTTTTGCCACTGGTCTTCGCATGGAAGGAGGGAGCCATCTCCTTTCCCTGCAGGCCCTGCTAGGCAAGAGGTGTTTGTACCCACTCCCTCCACCTGGGCTTGGCTTCCCTGAGTTTCTTCAGGGCCTTAATTCAGCAATTTCAAGACGCTTTAAAATTCTTAATGCCAGTGCTCCTTGCCAATTTCCAAATGACGGTGAGAGGGCCCAGCCGAGGGCTCACTGAGATGCTGCGTTTCCCATGAGAAGGGACAGACACTCCCAACTCACATTATACCCTTTGCTTCTGCATCATGCTGGGCCCTGGAACTGGAAAATAAAGGTTTGAGAATGACTTGAGGGCACGTCCCCTCTGGGTTTTTATTCCTCTTGATGAAATCACTAGTTCTGCCTTCTTGGACCTCAGTTTTCTAAGATGGGCAAATAGGGAGGGTGCCATGTGGTGGGCAGGGGAGTGTCCTCTGTCCTCCTGGAGCTGCTGGTTTCCAGGGGCATGACACTGAGGGTTCTTATCTGTCAAGTGGAGACGATATCAATAACAATAAGATGACAACAATACAGCAGAGTCCCCTTTTTGTGGTTTCACTTTCTGCAGATTCAGTTACCCACTGTCAATCATGGCCGGAAAATATTGAAGGGAAAATTCCAAAAATAATTTGTGAGTTTCCATTTGTGTACTCTCCTGAGGAGCATGACGAAACCTCATGGCGTCTAGGTCTGTCCTGCGCAGGGTGTGAATCATCTCTGGCCAGCGGGCACACACTGTATATGCTACCCGCCCCACACTGTCATGGTTTGATGACCTAGAATTGCTCCAAAAAGATGATCTTCCTTCTGACATACCCTCAGGAGCTCAATGGAAGCCTAAGGCAATATCACAATGCGCCCACACCAATTAGCTGGGTTCACCACATCACACAGGCACTGTGTCACCTCACAGAAGCACCATTATTGTCAGAAGGGTGAGTGCAGTAGATGATATTTTCATAAAGAAAATGCATATTTATATGACTTCTATTATAGCACACTGTTATAATTATTCCATTTTTAGTAGTTTTTGTTGTTAATCTCCTATTGTGTCTAATTTTATCCTAGCTATGTATGTATTAAAAAAAAACATAGTATATAAAGGGCTACTATCCAAGGTTTCATGCGCTGTGGGTCTTTGGACATATCTCCCCTGGTTCAGGGTGGGCTGCAGTAATAATAATACCTTACTTATAGGTTGTTGTGAAGATTACATAAATTAAAACATGTAAAGTGCTTAACACTGCCCGGCAGGCTGCTGGAGGAATACTGACATTATTATCACTATCATCACTTCCATCACGTGTACCAGTGACGGAGGGGGGGCACCTGTGCCAGTCTCCTTCCTTCACACTCCTGGGTGGGTAACCTCTGCACTGGCTCTTTCTGGAGGATACTCTGGAGATCCAGGAGCAGCACTTTCTGGCTGGAATCAAATTGAGCCTACAGCTGAGTCCTGTCCACAGGACACTCTGGGACACTGCTGCAAATTTCCAGTGACGGGCTGCAGTGCTCAGACTCAGACAGGATCAGCCGTTGTTCCTGAAGACCCAGAACAAGTGAAGGGCACTAGTGTCACATTATGTAAATGGTGGCTGCTTCAGATTGACTTGATTTGTTCCTTAACTCACAGGTTCTAGAGTCTCCTGCACAATAAAGGGGCCCCGAGTTGTCTGAAGACATGTTTTAGAAATACTGATTATGGCAGATGGTGGTTGTCGGGTATCGATTCCCTCCTTTCCCACCAACAGGATTCCACTTTTCCTGAGGGCAATTCATCCCTTCCCCATGCTGAGCCTCACGGTCTGGATGGGCCGGCTCTACCTCTGTGGCAGGGGAGAGTTTTGAGGAGCCTAAGCTAACGAGCATGTCCCCCTCTTCCAGCCATAGGGAAGGTTTGTGGGGGGAAGCATGACTCAAACTAGGGCCAAATCAAGAACAGATGAGAGGACTGTTTTGGGAGCTGAGGGGAAAGACCTTCTCTCTCCTCTTGTGTGAACTATTGGCCGGACCTGCCAGAGTCATTTACCACCATGCTACAAGATGCAGGGTCCTAGATGATGTTGTTCCAGGGCTGGATCAGGCCTCACTAGCTCTGCTTAGACTTTTTGGTTCCACGAGTCTTTATTGTACGAGTCAGGTGTGTCTGTCACTTGCGACCCAAAGAATCCTAGCCGACATGCTGGTCTTGCTTCCCACCTCTCTGTCACCTCCTGCCTTTGTGGCCATCTGTGGCCGTGGCCCTGCCATGTATCCGATGTGGCTGTGGATAGTCTGGTAGGTGAAGGGACCATCTGGGCCCGAAAGCATGACAGCCTGGCCTTGGCCTTTGGTTCAAGTCAAATCAACCATTTGACTTGGGATAAATGTCTACCCAAAAGTCAAGGGAATGCTAGTGTCACCCACGCTGTCCTGTGTGAAAAGCAAGGCAGAGCTAGATGATCTTTTGAGAAACATTTAAAAGATTCCCCCAACTTAGTGTCACTCACATTTCCTTTCTAAATTCACATTATTACTTCAACTCAAAGGACTCCATAAACCACTCCCCAAACTCTTAGCTACTTAGGAAAGATTCTCCCGGAATGACCTGGTGACAGAACAGGAAGCGACTGAAAGGTGTCACGCTGGCTGCTCTGTTAGCAGATTGTCCAGAGGTTCCCCAGCCCCCACCCCAAGGTGTAACTCATACGAGCCTCACTGCCCACTGATTTCCCTCAGGGCTGCACTTAGGTTTGGACGATCCAGATTGCAGTTACATTAGTGAACACTGGTCGCCATGCTAAAATTAACCACTTTAGCTAAAGTGTGTGTTAATTATGGGTATGCAAGCAGTCAATAAAAGGTTAATGCAAAAGTCAAAGGATAAATTTCTTCCCTTATTGCATCACTTCACAGACTAAATGACTA